TCTCATGATGATCACTTTTCTTTTCCTGAAAGGTCGATGTGTATGCATATCAAGACTTCAAAGCCAATACCAAAGTACAATAATGGATTCTTTAACCATGAAAATTCAAATAAATGACAAATCATATTCTAACTTTTCAGCATAAAATCTGTTGGGAAAGTTCTAAGAAATATTTTTTTTATAAAGTAAATAATCCTAGATTGTTTTTAACCTGCAAGCTAATTATAAATGTAATAGTGTGCGACATGTATGTCTAGTTATAAGCTGCATAAATATATAATTGGGTAGTTGTTATAATAAAATAAAACAGAGATTGATGCTAGCGTGATTTTCAGATTTGTTCTTAGGAGTCTAAATTTGCCAGAGCATTGTATTTTCATCATTTGAATTTGGATTTACTGTATTCTTTTCTAAATATAAATTTTAAATAATATCAGTTTCTTCTTCAGTTTAATTTTTTTTAGTACTCTACCCCATTAATATTATGTGCTCTTCTTTCATTATATATTGTTATCATCTATAGACAAGGAACTAGAAAATTCTAACTTTCTGTATGTTGCGTGTAAGATTCTATTCTCTTATTACGCTTGCTAGCTCCTTTATCTCTATGAGCAGTTATTGTAATGTTAGATAATCATTTAAATAATATTTTAGCGACTCACTTAACTGATTAAATTTTTAAATAATGTTTATTTAATATGATATCAGAACCATTCTCATTTTTTTATTTTTTTTCTAATTAAAATAATAATAATATAGGACTGTATAAGCTTATTTAAATTTTTAGGTTGAAATAGTTATTTAAAAAGTGAAAACCGTTTTAAAATTTACTTAAATTTTTAAGTTGAAATAGTTGTTTTATAAATAACAACTATTTAAAAACTAAATTCTTACACTTACTCTATATATTAGACTACCAATAAATCTACCTAAAGCAAATCTAGCATGTTTAACGTGGAAGCATTCAATATTTCTTTGGGAATGTCATTTGCGATGACAAGTGAGTCGGCTTCGAATAGGAATGGGACGGCAATAGATCGAATATCCTACCTATTAATTAAATTCTTTAACATATTCATTAAAAAGTTATGTTGCCATTATTCATTAAAAAATTCTCTACAAAAATATCTCTGATCCATACTCGATTTACATATCATTTATTATCTATTTAATCTCCGTTAAAAATAATTTATCAAAATATTTCATTTCAGTTATTATCGAGAGACTCATGACTATGCTACAAGCTGTGAAGCTCAGTGTATAAGACAAGACAGGATGCGGTCTTGTATTTAAGGTTGTGATGAGATTCTTGAAATCTTTATAATATCCCATTACACATAATGAATATATTTTAAAGAATTTTTAACGTCTCCTTAATATATTTTAGTGTAATTATCCTTAATTAGTTTAAGTAAAAATAACCAATAATGGATATATTTTAATGATTTTTTAGTAGGAAATTTTTTTACATCTTCCTAATGGTTTGGTTAATGGTTTGATGTGATTTTATGCAAGTGACAATACTATTCATCATGAAGAAATCAAAATCATAAGCTTCATCCATAATCTCTCGTTGATTTTAATTAGCTTGGAACTTCGCATTGTCTCCGTGTACAAATTTTTGTCCAAATTTTAATGAGTTCATGTTCCATGTCTTCAAGCATAAGTGCATTAAGATAAATAAATATTTTTTTCACCAAAATATTTTAGATTTATGTAAGGTCAATTTTCATATATTTGCAAAAACTGTGATTTTTTTTTTTTTTTGGAATAAAGACATTTACTTAATGAAATGATTATAACTTGTAAGATATATAATTTTTTTTTATTTCAAGTTAACTTGTTATTTGCAAATTTAAACTTCGATTGGTGAAAAAAAAATTAAAATGATTAAAATCAAACAAATGTATTTTTTTAAAAAAAATGCACATATCTTATATTCTTCATTGGGTTTACCCCCATATTCAACCCTGTACATTTAAAGAAAAAAACAAAAAATTATTGAGTTTACTCTTTTTTTTTTTTTTTTTTTTTTTTTTTTGATTGAGATCTTCAACTCTTCAAGATTTGTTGTGTAAACCTTCTTTTAAAATTTAATCAACTATTCATCTCACATGATACGTTATTGTCAACAACCACCAATCACTAATTGACACTTGACAAAGAGAGCCCAAATTATCTGCATTCAAAATAAAATTTAAAAATGTTTTTATAATAAACTAATAGTTAGAATTAAAATAAAATTTTAAAAGATAAATTTACCCCTATCCCATTATCTCAAAATCCATCAAATATATCTGCATCTATCGTTATCTCTCGTCACTTCTCTTTCTCTCCTTCTTCTCTATCACAAAAATGTCTTAACCTCCGAATCAAAATCCATCAAAAATCCCTAATTTTTCATCATCGTCTATCATTGAAGGAAGAAATTGGTGTTCTTGCAATTGGAAAGCAGTGGGAGAGGGAGGTATTCTTCAAGAAGAAAAGGGTTTTTGATTAATTTTTCTCCCCATTCCAAGTCATTTTACGAAAATAGTTAATTAATTAAATTTACTAGCAGCATGAATTAGTCAGAAACCACAGTGGCTAAAATTAGCAATCATAGTTTTTCAACAGAAATCTTCTTGAATTGTTGTGATTATAAAAATTATTTTTATAATATCCCATCACACCATAAACTAAATGAAGTCCTTCCATTCAGTTGCATGTTTGAAAGATAAAATCACACAGTAATCTTCTTGGATTGTGGCATTTTGCAATCGTTAGTTCTGTAGAACGGAGAGCAGAGTTGAAACAGAGCAAAAATAATTCAATGTGTAATGACAGGCTCATTGGAAATCAAACATACACGTAACATATTTTACATCATTATAAATTAGTCACTCTAGTTTTGAGAAGTGAATTAATTAGTTTTTTTTATATAAATTAATTATTTAGTCCTTATATTTTTAAATCTATATGAAACTTAATGTTTTTTGCTCTTTTCAATTTTTTTTATTTTTTATTTTAAGAAATAAAAAGGAAAAAAATATGAATGAGAAACAAATATTGTTGAACAAAAATAATATTAAATTAAATATGATCGACAAGGATCAAAAGACTACATAATATATATTTTTTTTGAAATAAGAGAGATTAATAAATTGATTTTTTGAAACTTTATTTTGTACTAATTTTTACTTTTATTTAAATAGATATATCCAAATAATTTTTGTTTTGGGGAGTACCAAAGAAATTAAATAATTGTAAAATATCCTTATATGAATATCAATGCACAATGACATTATTTGAAAGGCTTTAGATAAGAGATTTATAAAAAGACACGTAAAATAAAACAAAGCACAATGATCAACAAGAGTCAAGAGATTAATTTAGAGGTTTTCAAATATGAAGGACTATGTTACAATTGCATTCAATACTCAAGGACTAAAGATGTAATTTTGCTTCTTCTAAACCTTAAAGGTACTCATGGCAGAAAAAATGTAAAAGGCTAAATGGATCAAATTATTTCTTAACTTTAATTTATTTAAAATAGAGTTTTAAAATTTTAAATTAGTTTTTATGATTTTTAAATTTTATTTTATTTATTATTATTATTTTTTTTTAAAAGATTTAGCCACCTAGCTAAACCCATAAAGGCACAATGATAAGGAGGTAGGACTAGTACTCATGATAGAAAACAACTAAAAAGCTAAACGAATCAAATCATTTCTGAACTTTAACTTATTTAAATTAAATTCTTAAATTTTAAATTTAGTTTTTAAGATCCTTAAGCTCTTATATTTTTTAGAAAAAAATTAGCTCATTCAAGCTCTTACTTTTTTAGAAAAAAATTAGCTCATTCTTCATATGTCATTTATCATAAAAACAACAACAATTTTATAAATAGCATAATGATAAAAATTATTTAATGAGATTTATATGGAACTTCTCAAAAAAAATTAGGATAATTTCTAGGTTGTTTCTATATTTTTAATATTCAAAAAATAAACAAATATATTTTTTGATTTTGAAAAATTCTAAGATTTTTTTTTAAAAAAATTCAAATTATGTACAAAATTTAAAATTAAAATATCAAGAATTAATTTTTTTAAAAAAACGATATTTGAAAATCATCAGATGCACTAAATCTCAAAAAAAAAATCAAAAATTCAAAAAATTAAACTTAGAAGTTCAGAAACGAATTTAAAATGAGTAGGCAGTTCAGAAAATATTTGACCATTTAGTATGCCTAAAACATCACGAGGAATCCCACCAAGCATTCAGATTAGCAATCAAGTCATGTCAGGCGAAGCTCCAACTAAACTTCGTATGGTGGGGTTTCCCATCGTGCAATGCTGAGCCACTAAACGCCAGGAATGACAATGACTAGGTATGGGAAGCTCAACTGAATAATGCTCTCCATCTAACAAGTTCACAAAAAATTGAAGTTGCATTTTCTACCCTTTTACATGGGCTAAAAATCACACATGATCTCTGTACTTTGGAATTTTGTTCAAACCAGAGCTTATAGTTTAAATTAGGCCTAAATCATCCCCCTACTTCAAACTAAAGACAACTAGAGATCTTATATCCAATTACATTGGCATTCATCTAACCGTTTAGCCAAATACAAGGTTGGATGAATTGGATGAAGGAACTAAAATTACCCTTCAACTGGAAGTGAAAGGGTTCATTTGATCTAATTTAAAATAAAGGGTTTGATTAGACCAAAAGTAAAGTAAAGGGACCATGCAAGATTTGGTAGCCATTTCAATCTGAATCCAAGGAGTGAAATCATGTCAAAAATCAAGAAATTGCTTTCATTATTATAATTCTGCCTCAAAACATAGTCTCTAACTCTCTTCTTATTTTTATATACTACAAGGCACTGTCTTCCATAGAAAGTGAACAAGGAAAGGAAACTGCATCTACTCAAGTCACTAGATTCTAAGGTCAAGCATTATATCATTGACACCACTGTTCAAGTCTGTCTCAGCAAAGATTATCCCAGAGATTGTTCACAGGATCTCACGCAAATTGTCTGTCAAAAGCATTGCCAAAGATTCCTGCCAAGCCTGTACCTTCATTTTAAACTCTCTTATCATCTTGGCATAAAATCTTGGACCACTTCCTCTTACTGCTTTGCCTGCTCAAATATATCAGAATGTTGTTAGATGTATCCAAGGTTTCCACCTTCTAACTCCATGAGTTAATATAGTAATTTGACAACTACAGAAAGGAAGAAAAGGGACAAATCAAAATCAATATGATATTCAACCATGGAATCATTTTGTAATATGCACACCAATCTTCTGTACTCAATTTGTAAGACTGTAATAATCCAATTTGATTTATCATAAAGTTGATCGTATACTCGATCTCTCAGCCAAGAAGTTTTCACGTCATGGACGCTAATCATGTTCAAAATCCACTTCTCCCTCGAAATATGCTCCAGACAAAATATGTTCTTGGACTAATTGGATTGAAATAAAGAGTTGCTCCCTTGTCAAGAGTTGCTCCTGGGTAAGGATAAAGCTCGTCCAATAGAAAATTTTGGTTTTTTTTCCCTATTTCTTAGGAGCCCTAGAGAAGATTGAAAGGCCACATACAGTGATTTTGTCTCCATTCAAACAAGTTGGATAAGAAAATTGCATACATAAAGCATATTTGTACACGTAAGACAATCTGGTCCCCTAAAAAATCTGTATGCCAATGCACAGAGATGAGAATATACCTGTGAATAGAGGAAGGTGCCAAGAATTGCAATGGCAGCTCCGAGGGCATTGATGGGTTGAACAGGAGTGTGGAAGATGATGATGGAGGAGACTATGACGGATATCCGTTTCATTGTGTTTCCGATGCTAAATGTCAATGGAGAGATTTGATCAAGAGACATGTATGACACTTGATTGTATAGGTGATAGAAAATGCTCTGCGCTACCACCCACCTGTTTCAATTCAGAGCCACAGAAATTATAATTAGTAAATTATCAATAAATAGTTCCCGATTTTGCAATAGATTAGTACCACTAGAAATACATCACATCAAGATTGCTACTTCAATTCTACAAAGCAAACTGAAAGAGGGAAATAAGCATGCCCTTGTGAGAAAAGTGCAAGAAAAAGAAAGGAGATTCTAGATGTTGAATCTCTGGTAACCAGAAAATACTACAATATCTAAGCAAAAATATTTGCAGACACAACCATGGATATCTATCAGTGCCTACACGTAACATGCCAGTCACTATCACCAGCCAGAAAATCAAAGCTAATCTTTACTATCTATAATCCAGAAAAAAAGAAATCTAATCTAATCTTTACTTTCTATTATCAAATATATTAAATAACATTTTCAGCTATCGTAATGACTCGATATACTTGGCATATCTATCTTTTAAATTCAGTACCTTTTAGCTACATAACAAAAGACAAGCAAGTATGGTAGCAAAGAAAAACTTGACGACTAGTTCATGAAACTGATAGCTCATTGTAATTACCAAACGAAATTGGGTCCGATTTGAGCAAGAGCATTTTGCCAGCCAGCAGCCCACATTTGCGGCCCTTCTACCGCAATTGCGAATGGGGTAAGGATCAACAGAGACAACATAGATAAACAAGCATAGTAGTTCATTCCACTGACGGACTTTCCGTTCATCCCCTTCTTTGAGAATATGTTCCGAAACACAAATGCCAAATTCGATATCATAGCCCCCATAAACCCTGAAACATATACCAAGCATAATTTAGAACTCAAACACTAAAATCCATAAATGTTTACAAGTTGAATATAATTCCTACATCGTTGATAAAATTTTATAACTGGAAAAATGATCCTACCAGTCATGTTGAAATTGAGCTCAGTAAAAGCTGATAGAGCACAGCCTCCAATAATTGGTAGCAGTGATAGATAAACTGGCAAGGGGAATGTCTCACCCAGCAGGAACTTTGAAACCAAGACACTGAAAGCAGGCTCACCACTCTTGATGATGTGAGTGAATGAGACAGCAACTTTTGACATACTCACAGTTGCAGCTACATGCCCAATTGTATGTGCTACAGCAACCTAAACACCAAATACACAGCACAGAACACTAAATCAGAATTTCATAACACCAAATTCTCACATTTTTCATTCCAAATTTTTCCTCTGCTATTAAAAAAGGGATCTTGCTTCAGCTAAGGCCATATAGCTCTATCATTGTGATCGATTTTAAACATTTTCTATTTTTTCATGCTCGGAAATAAGACAAAATGCATTAACCAAACTCAAATTTATCATCTTTCCTTCACTTTCTCAGAAACCAACCAGACTTAAAAGTTAAATCCATTACAACTCAAATTTATGGAGTCTCTGTTTTCATGTTCCATAAATCACAAAATTCACAAATCAAACTTGAATTTCTAATCTTTTCTGGAAAGTCTCACAAACCAAGCAAACGAAATAGAAAAGAAAGGCTTAAAATAAAAACTTACGGGAAACAGAGTCTTCCAAAACTCAAAATCAGTCTTAGGAGCATCAGCAATCCTTGTAGCCCAAGAAATCAGCATCATAAGAGACCCACAAGCAAGTGAGAGTGTAGAAGTAAGCCAAGGATAAGGAAAAGCATTCAAGACTTTCTTGTTATAAATATTAAAAACCACATTCAAAGACCACCAAGTTGCAAAATATAACCCAATTTTAATCTTTTGAGCTGCTTGCTCATCTGGTAGCTCAATGTTGATATCTAGTGGCCTTGACCTATCAGCCTCATATGCATTGCAAACAGTAAGTGGCTTTTCTTGATGGGCTTTTCTAGAAAATGAGAAACTCTCAATTGAAGAAATATGAAGTGGTTTTTGTGAAGCTTTATCAAAGTTTAGACCTTTTTGTGAGTTTTGGATAATGGGAAGAGGAGAGAACTTCAAAACATTGAAAGCTGAATGCTTTCTTGGTAAAGGATTGCTCAAAGAAGTGAAAGGTGATTTTGCTTGGTTTAATGAAGACATCATTGTGCTAGTCATGTTTATAACTAAAGCAAACACCAAAGAATGCAAAACGGTCTTTAAAGAAAACACTGAAAAAACCAAAAAGACAAGAACTTTGATGTCTAATTGAAACACAACCCAAGAATGTATAGGTCTTTGGGTTTGTGTTTTTTGCTAACTTGGGAATCTCAGAAAGTGTTTAACGTTTTAAGCGTTTAAGCGGATTTATCAAGAAAGGAAGGAGGAGCAGAGGTTTAAATAGGGGAAGGGAAGTGAAGAAAGGAGCAATGCCTGGCGGGACACAGAGATACAAGTGGTGACAGTTGTTTGTTTGATATTTTGGGAAATTACTTGAAGCTCCTTTGATTTGTACTTATGCCTTTTCAAGCTCTCCAAAATTCTACTTCCTCTGCAAACCAGAGCCAGTTGTGAAAATGAGAGTTTTAGTAAATTGGTTTGTTGTTTAATCCAGTTGTTAATTGTTGTTTAGTACTATTGGATTTGATAAGATGGGTTGTATTTTATAGTTGCATTGGCATGTTCTGAATGAGAAATTTTGTAGAGTAAAGTATAAATTAATCCTTTTAGTTTTTAAAAAATAAATTAATTACTCTCTTTTGTTTCAAAAATTAATTTATTTAGTCATTCAATCAATATGACACTTAATTTAATATTATTTTATATTTTTTTTAATTTTTTAAAACATATAAAAATAGAAAAGAATATAAAATGGACAAAGAGAACTAAATAATTAGGCTTTCATATATAAATGACTAATTAATTTATTCCTCAAAACTATAAAGATTAATTTATAATTTACTGGATTTTTGTAACATAGCCTTTAGTATAATGCTGTTGCATAAAATATGAGGAGTCTAGGAAATAGAATATATCTAAAATTTGTGGCACTCTACTTTTTGCATTTGGTTAAATCAAACCATCTATTTTACATTCGATCAATTTGATTATTTTTCCTAATTAAATGTTATTTCAACCCATTTATTCAATTTCGTTGCTTATTAAGTCATAAGATGAATGCTAACTGTTACGATGTAATTGGATAAAGAATCCTAAATTACCAATAATTGGAAGTGGAAAGGTTAATATGACCCGATTCAAAGTATAGGTTTGATTTCATCAAATATAAAAAGCAAAGGGATGACAATTTATGATGAGAACTAAAATGTAATTATAGATTATTCATTCCATACCAAAGACATTGTTTCCCTTTCTGTTTATATGTATCGTTAAAAAATGTTTGTTCTTTTCAAAATTTTAAATGGTATACTTTTCTAAACTACTCAATTAAAATCAATTTTATATATATAAAAAATATCCAAATACAATTCTAAAACAAGAAATATTTTAGAAAAATATAAATAAAAAACACTAATATGATATAAAAATTAATAATTTTTTTAATCCTTGTGAAAAGTTCATAAAAAAAAAAAAGACAATTTTCTTATCACTAGTTAATCTCACTAGTCCCCAGCCTAGTTTTTTTTTTTTTTTTTATCAATTGAATCCTCAATCTATACATGAATTCTCCATTAGGTCCCCCATCTAAATCTGTAAATTATAATGTTTTCCGTCTAAGGTGCCTAGTTAAGCAAAAATGTGCATGATGTCTTTCTCTTAACATTTTTTGTAAAAAAAATACAATGATTTTAGACATGATTACCGACTTGATTGAGGGTTTTTGTCTAGTTTGGGGATCCAATTGAGAAATGGAAAATATATGTGGGGGACCAATCTTAGGTTACCCCTTTACTATTTTATTACAAATTAACAAAAATTTGACTCTTAAACTTAATTACAAGTAAAATTTTCCGTTGAGAATAACATTTCTATAATTAAGTTTCTAAAGAGAGAACCATTATTGAAAATTTTGAAATTTGAGATAGGTTTGAACCAAAAGAAAATATTGTTGGATTTTCTTTTCTGTTTGTATTTTATTTTATGGGAATATTCGTGGTAGCTAGTATCACTACTTTCTGTCGACATATAGTTCCCTACTTTCTTGACCAAATTCTTGACAATACCAATTTTCCAAGCTCAACCTTGTTCCAAATTTTGGATTTTTTGAGTTATTATAGGCAATTCAAACTTCTCAAATATTGAGAATTCCCACACATTTGATTCAGTTGATCTATCTATACAATCCAACTGTACCAACAATTTCAACATTGAAAATGTCAATTGGTTTAAATTTCTCCACCAAAATTGTCTCTACTTAATTTGGTTTGCATTTACCACCAAAACTGTGATCCAATGATAAGAGGTTGTCTTCAAATTGATCAAAACCAAAATTTAATTTTTATTATTCATGAAAAACTAATCATAATTATTCTGAAGTTGTCTTCAAATTGACTAAAACTGAAATTTAATTTTCACTACTTACAAAAAACTAGTTATAATTATCTTTATATTGTCAAACTTGAGCTGATTTAACACAAAGAGTCTAATGATCGATCAAATTCTAAATGTATTCTAATACTAATTTAATTCAAAAAATAATAAAATTAATCTCGAACGATGTAAAATCCGAACAAAAAATGTCCAACTATATATATAATTGGTCGACCATTCTCCTCCCCAACTTCACAACTTTGACGATTGATGTAACTCATGCCCACGAAATGCCAATTTTTGTGCTATTTCCATCCCCCTTCTGTTCCTCGTATGCCACAACAAAATTTGCAGCCGTTCAATTCCTTTTCTTTTCTTGGCGGGGGGAATGGGCAGACACGGTCATCAATAATTGAAAATAAAATCAACGCAAATATCATTCACCAGTCTCCAAAAATATGACGAATCAAAGACACCAAAGATTGATGTAACATTTCACAAACACGTCTTTAGGCCTTGCAAATTCTGCACCGCTAGTTCCTCCAACAACTCTCTAGCAATTAACATAAAAGACAATGTTTTGGGCTATCTTCATTGGTTTTAAGCAAAATGTCCCACTGAAAAAGACACACATTTGGCTTTAGTTTGGTTGGCAGATGCCTATAATTCTTGCCAACTTGTGTTTACTGCATGTTTTGATGATGATTTCCAATGCTTTTCATGCTTTTCATGGACGGATGGAGATATTTGGTTGAAGCAAAAAAAAAAATCTTGATTAAATTTATTTAGAGTAAATTATAAATTAGTCCCTCTAGTTTTGAAAAATAAATTCTAGTCCTTGTTTCAAAAACTAATTAATTAGTTCCTATATTTTAATTTTTTTATAATTTAATTATTTTTTTTTTTTTTGGTTTAAGAAATAGAAAAAGGGAAAAATATGAAGAATTAATGAGAAAATATAACATTTTTAGAAATAAAGTAATATAAAATTAATTATGTTAAATAACTAATTTTTTTATATAAAAAAGATTAATTAATTGGTTTTTTGAAATTAGAGAGATTAATTTATAATTTAATCAATTTATTTATAAGCGGCTAAGGCATGCATGATGTAAAATTAAAAAAAAAAAATTGTTCTAATTGTTGTGAATTGTGGCATGAATAATAGCATTGGGTTTTTGTTTTCTTTTTGAGAGTCGTTGGCTTATTTTGACTAGGACTTTAAGTGTAATTTTATTAGGACATGAGAATAGAATGAGTTTAGTGTTTGTGAGTGTGAATTGACCCTCTTTGATTTGGAGTTATAATTTGTCTTATTATATAATAAGCATGTCTATATAGGAAACATGTTTAGAAATAATTTGTATAACAGAATATAATTTATATTATTTTTTAATATATTTTTTCAAGTGAAAGTATGGTTAATTTATATTATTTTTAAATAAAAACTCAAGAAAAAAAAGCGAGCATTAGGATTGAAATTCTTAACCGTTACCATATCACATGACCATTTCAATACAAAAAATAAAAAAATAAAAATTAAACTATTAGGAGAGTTTTCACTATATGGTTTATATTATTTTCTAATAATGATATCATTCACATGGTTTAAATTAATAAATTATTATAAAAGCTGTCATAACCCAAAATTTCTGAATTCTTTATTTTTAATTGATTATTTGTTTTCTTTTATTTTAAGTTTTTTTAATTATTTATTTTTCTTATCTTAATCAATGTTATTATTTTTATTTATTTCATTTTTCTTAATAATGTGCAAAATAAAAAAAAATACAAAAAATACAAAAATACAAAAACAAGGTGAATTTAATATTCAGGGATGCAATTGTAACAAATTCAAAAGTATTATGATAATTGAGGATACAATCGAATCATTTTAAAATTCAAGAGCCAGATTACATTGGATAAGGACCAAATTGACCTAATAACGATTTACAGGGACCAAAATGCAAAAATAAAACAAAACAAAACAAAAATTAAATTACAAAAAATAAAAATTACAAAAAAAATAAAAAATACAAAGTTTGCACCCCCTCCTGCCCAGAACTAATTTCTGGGATTATTTTTTCTCCTGCTTCATGGAACCATTCTTAGTTTCAGTTGCAGGAACTAATTTATGTGCTCAATTCTGGTCTTGAATTCCAATCCTAGAAAAATTAATTCCCTCAACTGCAGCTGTCATTTCTCCCTCATCACCCAGTCAACAATAGCAGCACCCCCACCTGTCAGCCTCACTGTTTCTGCTGCAACTCCCACAGTCCTTCCAGACCAATTCCCCCAATTCCTGCAGCCTCACCATGCCGCAACTGGCAGCAACTGCACAGCCCTCCCCCTATTACCAGCCCCTGCCACAACCATCCCCTACAAACCAAATGGACACACACGCCCACTCCAAATCCTGCAAAAAATCTCACACCATTATGGTAGAGAACCAAGCCAGTATTCACACACACATATATATATATACACAGCAGCAGAAAAAAGGGGAGAGCGGCAGCAAACAAAGAGAAAAGAGAGAAGGGCAGAGGGGATTTTTTTTCTTTAGTCTGATATCCAAGAAAATTAATTAAGAGTGAAGCCTGCAAAATTAGGAGAGAGTTAGCGATAAAAAAAAAAGAGGGAAATTGGCAGTAGAAAAAAAAAAGAGAGAAAATCCGAAACAGAAAAAA